AACATCAACATCAACATCAACATCAACATCAACATCAACATCAACAACGACAACAACAACAACAACAACAACAACAACAACAACAATAATGATGATGATGATGACGATGGAGGCAGCGACGATCATGGCAGCAGCAGGGCACAGAGTGGTGTCCGTGCATCCGAGGTCATCATCAGGATAATGAGCGAGAACATCAACATCAACATCAACATCAACATCAACATCAACAACGACAACAACAACAACAACAACAACAACAACAACGGTGACGAGGGCGGGGGCGACGTCCACGGCAGCAGCATGAAGGGTGTGATGTCGCAGATGGAGATGGATGATAACGGTGGTGATAACAACAACAACAACAACAACAACAACAACAACAACGATGATGATGAGGGAGGCGATGTCCATGGCTGCCGCATGAGGGGAGTGCAGCAGATGGATGCGGATGATAATGGAGACGACAACAACAACGACGACAACAACCACAACAACAACATCAACTACAACAACAACAACAACAAAAACGTAGGGGGCAACGTCCATGGCAGCAGAATGATGGGTGAGATACTGCAGGCAGACGCGGTTGGAATGGGGGTGGACACGGGAAACTGGTTTTCTTACTTCCTCATTGTTATATGTTTTGGCCTCGATATGGAGTTGTTTCTCGTTGGCTGCCAAAGGACAGGAGTAGGTTAGTCAGTGATGATTGGTGTTGCCCGGCCCGCAATACCAATCAACACTGGGTGGTGATCGCCTCGCGGGATTGGTGGTGGGCAATTTAGGGGTTAGATTGCAGGAGGCCGACCTTTCCCTTGCGCAGGCAAGTAATCAATGGCCCTGACAAATTCATAAGATAATGCATGGAGAAAACGTTGTGTTAAGGCATGCTTGATATTCACCACGTGCGACTCGTCATTGTTAGGGTTTCGTGATGTCCACTCATCATGGATAGAGCTTCGCTCTTATGCTTGATTGATAGAGAATACATCATATCCTACTTAGAGTTTCGTGATTAGACTTTGATAGGTATAGATTAAAGACATATATCTAACAGTTGGACATAGTTACACAACACGATATGGGGACGCTGGACCCGATTTCCAGCAGATATAAATCACATCATTGGTAGTACACATCACATCATGGTTAGGGTTTCGACTAAATGGATTGATCCCTCAGATTGTTGCACAGATTCCATAGTGTACATAGTTACACAACACGATATGGGGACGTTGGACCCGATTTCCAACAGATATAGGGTTGGCTATCCTCATAGTACGTAGTCAAGGGTTGAGGCTGGTGGCAGGGTGCAGCGCTACTGGGAGCGTTGTGCTCCGCCCCGGGTTGCGACATCGCACAGGTGGGCCATGGTGACGGCATGCGGCGGCGATGGTGGTCATCTCTTTTGTAAACCAGGCGCTTTGCGCACGCATAGGTGACCGAAGGCACTTGCCCACGCCACGTCACAAACTGATGTGGCGGCTAGACTAACTCCCATTTTTTTTCTTCTGGGAGTTTCACGTTTCACTCCATTGCCGCTGCGTTTTTGCACGTGGCATATGGACTCAGAGGCGTTGGCTATGTCGACGCCTGTGGAGTACAGTGGAGTCAGCCCTTGGTGAACTGAAATGCAAGTGCAGTGGCGACTGCAATCATGAGGAAGTAGATGTGTCAGCACAATCAGGGCGCTGCCCGTCATCAACAACGGGGCGTTGATCACCACCAATACCATCATCAACAAGGCGCGGTTCGACACCATCATCACAGTAATGGTTCGCCATCATCATCATCATCATCATCATCAACAGGGCGTGGTTCGACATCACCATCATGGTAATGGTTCGTCATCATCATCAGGGTGTTGCTCGTCATCACCATAATCCTCGTCAGGGTACTGCTCGTCATCATCATCAAGGCGTAGGTCTTCACTTCAGTTCGGCACAAATATCATCATCATTATCAAGGAGCCGTTCTTCAGGGGTGTTGCTCGTCATTCATCATTGTATTACCATCATCAATAGTTCACCATCATAGGGTGCGGTTGGCGAAGTTTGTTATCATAGGGCGCTGCTCATCCCTATCATCATCATCATTATCATCATCATCATTAGGTTATCATCAAAGGTGCTCGTCATCAACACCATCATTATCCTGTTGTCATCACAGGGCGTTGTGCATCATCATCATCATCATCATCATCATCATCATCACGAACATCATCATCATCATCATCATCATCATCATCATCATCGTCATCATCATCATCATCATCATCATCATCATCGTCATCATCGTCATCATCATCATCATCATCATCATCGTCATCATCATCATCATTATCATCATCAATCTAAAATCATAGCGGTTGTTGGTGTTGCTTTTTAGTACGATCAGCATCATCATTTTGTCTCCATTCTCATCACTACCATCATCATCATCATCATCATCATCATCATCATCATCATCATCAGTTTGTCATCTTTAGATGTTGCTCTTCAAGGCATTGTTTGCCTTTCACATCAGGAGGTGAGTTGGTCGTCACCATCATCCTCGTCATCATCGTCTTCAGGGTGCTGTTCATCGTCATCAGCAAAAAAAAAAAAAAAAAAAAACTCATCTACCTTTTCTCCATCACAATTTTCAGAAATTTCTGATTCTTCCACTCATATCTTAGGAATCTTATTTCCTAAATTCCTTGTTTTTTCTTTTCCCCACTATTTATTTCTGATTCCCCTTTGGGCGCACTAATGAATTATTTTTGCACGGGTGGGGGTTGGGGTTTTAAGGAGGAGAGCTCTACTCTGCAGGGGCTTCACAAGGTGGAGGTTAAAATGCCCTGGAGGGAGTGGGGGCAGATTTTTTGGGGATGCCCTATTCTAGGGCTGGAAAAGATGTATGAGTTGGCATCATATCCCAGCGGAGGCAGATAGCGGTGAAAGGTTGGTTGAGGCATACTTTGGGTGGAACTGGATACCTCAGTGGAAGTTGGGGGAGGAAGCAGGTATGTCCCAAGTTGGGGCCGATAAGGAGAGCTTGTGATCAAGACATTCCTTTTCAGTGGAGGCAGTGGAGGGACAGGGGGAGATGGAGGGGAGGGGGGGGGAAATAATCCACAGAAACGTCCGGGATTCTGATTCTCCTCTTAAGCATAAACAAATTATTTTTGGTGGGGTGGTGGGTTGGTTCTGGGGGGGAGAGAGCTCTACTCTGCAAGGGCTTCACATGGAGGGAGGTGATTGCCCTGAAAAGAGACGAGGCAAATTTTGGGGAGTGCTCTATTTTGGGGCTGGGGGAGATGTATGGGTCGACATCATATCCCAGGGGTGACAGACAAGGGCAAGGGATCGACAAAGGTATACTTTGGGTGAGAATTGATGCCTTCGTGAAAGTAGGGGGAAAAACGGGTCTGTCCCAAGTTGTGGCCGATGAGGAGTGCCCATAATCAGGGGCGGTCCTTTTTGGTGGAGGCAGCAATGGGGTAGGGGGACGAGGGGGACAGGGGGGAATATCTATATCCTTTGTTAGTATTTTGTGGGACTTAAACAAGCACCCTTGTTATTCCTGGTAGTTTGAAGAATCTCTCGGGACTCTGAGGATCTGCTGGTGGTTTGTACGAAGCTGCACTGAAATTAGACTGTTATATTCAGGATTCGTCGTTGTTCATTGTCAGAACGACGCTGGCCGGAGCCGGGGTGATGCCCTATAACTTGCCAAACGTGAGGGTATGAGGCCTTGTAGAGAGATCTGGGGATGTTATGCAGGGGCATCCTAAGGGACAATTGGGGGTTGCTGACAGAGGACGACACTGGTCGGAGCTGGAGTGAGTCGCGTTGCTCTGTAACCTAGCAGATAGGGGGCGTGAGACTTGGATAAGTTTTTCAGAGAATAAGTCGGTTTTAGTGAGCTTTGTTATGATCTATTGGAAATCCCTTAGATACTCGAGTGTTTGGAAAATTGCGGTGGATTTTATGAGGTGTTTAGCGATCATAAAAAAAAAGGGGGGGGGAAGCATTGGTAGTATATATTATATCATGGTTGGGGTTTCGACTGATTGGATTGATGCCTCAGATTGTTGTAGAGATTCTAAAATTTACATGGATGGGGACGCTGGACCCATGTTCCGGCACATACATTCACACCATTGCATAAGGACGCTGAACCTGATTTCCAGCAGATACATTTTCGTCATTGTACGGGAACGCTGGACCCAATTTCCAGCAGGTGTAGCTACCCACCCATAGATGGAGCCTTCGACGCCGGGGCCTACTTAACGGGGATGCTCTTATCACCTCATTAAGTAGGTTTCCCGTATACGAAGTTCAAAAAAAATAAAATAAAATAAATAAATAAATATAAATAAAAATGGTACTTATCTTTCTTTCACTACCTACCTCCCACTACTCTTAAGGCTATACAAAAGACCCCTGCAAACATAGCTTTCTTCACCGAAGAGAGGTTGACACTAAGCTTAGCAGGGCCCGTGCACAAGATGAATGGGTCCAATTTTTAGGGGAAATTGTGTGTGCACCCCACTTAAAGATGGGAATACCCAGTCCCAATCTAATGGGGCTGAGCGGGTTTGCTCAGATGGCCTGTTTGGCCTTTTTTCGATGGTACGTGTAGCCTTGACCTTGTCGACTATACCTGACCGTTGTCTGAAGATCTCTCTTCTTTTACTCTGCATGATTGTAGTTCTCCTGGTTTGGTACTGCTTATCTGTCTGTTTTTTTGTGCTTCTTCGGTGGCTATAGGACCGGTTTTTCGATGAATCGCCTTGTGTGAACTGGTGCTGGACTTATTAGCGACCCTTGGGGTCTTGCCGCACGGCACACGAAACAAAAACGAAATGAGTGCATCTGCCCACGAAAGGTGGCAACATACACTCCTCCTATTTATAGCAAACCGATGAACCTGGTCAGTTTCTGCAGGAAGATGCACTCGTTTCGTTTTTCGTTTCGTGTCCCGTGCGGCAACGCCCTTGGTGCCTTGTGAGACCTGGTAATTGTCGTGCGAAACATCCCTTGGTGCACCTGAACTGCTTTGCGGCATCATTCACGTAAAACGGTTGTATGCCTGGAAACAGGTGGGGGACCTCTTCCATCTACCGTTTGTCACAACTTCGGGAACCTTTGGGTTTGTTTTTAGGATATACTGATGGTGTGACCCGCAGTCCGCCTCTCATCGCTAGAACGTGCGATTGCGGTTGTGACGTATGTGTTGGCGACGCCACTAGTAATGTGCTTCCCTACGTTGGGTTTTACTCGATGGCACAACAATTTTCATTAGTCGGATTTTGCGCCATCGCTGCGCTGTGCAGACATGGAGTTTGATACTAGTACCCCCAGACATGGAGTTTGATACTAGTACCCTGCCAGACGAGCAGCTTCGAGATTGATTACGCCTGTACCTGCTGGAGGGGTAATGTGCTTTGCGGAGCGACTTGCTGCTTGTGTGTCTTGTGAACGGTTTGTCTGTGTGTCGTGGGTTGTGCAGGTAATTTCTTGGCGGCACCCTCTGAACGGCAGGTTCCTCGGCTCTCTACTTCAGTCGTGATGATCCTTTGTCATCCTTAGGCAGCCATGTGTCATACTCAGAGGTGGAGGGGCATATGTGTGCACTCAATGGTGTCATTTCCGCATCTGGTTAGGGTAGTACCGTAGTAGTAGTGCGTAGAACAGGTATTGGATAGTATAAAAGGGGCAAGTCGTGGGAATGGCCTCATGTAGTATGCCAGCATTGTGTAATCTGGCCTCCTGATGAGTCCGCGTGCGGGGCGGACGAAACGTGGCGAGGGTTCGGACCACTTGGTTGGTGTTTGTTTGATTTCTCAATGTCAGTGCTGATCGGTTCCTATTGTCTAAACTTGCATGCGCAACGAAGCTTGGATCTATCGTTGTATCATGATTGCTCTATTCTCGTGTTGATGTTGTCTTGCGGGGCAATTTTTCTCCTTCCCAGTGCCAACTTGTACCTGTACCCAGAAAACTGCGGTGGGAATTATTTGCATGCCCAAAACTTAGGTGAACCCAGGTTGGTACCGCAAAAATACAATCATAACCAACCGCCGGAACGCACGAATCATGGACATACCCAGGCAAAATTATGGGCATACCCGGGACTAAGGTGGACCGACCAAATTATTCATATACCCTACTACAGGATGCCTGAAATTATGCTCATACCCACACCAGCCGCTGGGCCACAAGGGTCCTCGTGGTGGGCATGAACATAATTTTGTGGTACAATCCAAGGCCCGCTCATGGCTGAGGGTACACACGCAATTTTGCCAGCCTGTTTCTAGGCATGCGCATAATTTCGTTGCCCGAAACTTAGGGCCTGCGGGACTCGGTATGCCTACAATTTGGCACAGGGAAAAGTCGGGTACTTCGCAAAATTGAACGAGGTCCGGGTATAGATGCAAGTTGGGCGTTGGGGCTATGTATAGCGGGTATTCCCATCTTTAAGGGGCCTGTGGGACTGGGTATGCCTACAATTTGGAACAGGGGAAAAGTCGGGTACTTCGCAAAATTAACCGGGGTCCGGGTATAGATGCAAGTCGGGCACTGGGACTGAGAATACCGGGGGCCATGTCCCACTTGTCGAAGTTTAGTTCCGGTTTCGAGTAGAGATGGCCCCCTGCCATCGAATCTGAAAATCTCACAGCCACAGTGTGACCACTTTGAAAAAAGACACAAAACATAAACTCAACCGCTACTAGGGGATATGGCCCTGGGAACTCCCAACTTCTTCTTTTTTGTTTTAATTCCCATCTTTGAATGGGGACAAAATCTACGGATGGAATTTTCCCTCAAAATTTTAGAAGCAGGCTTGTCCGTTTTGAAATCAATGGTAAGGGCGATACCCGCTTGACTTGGACAAGCCCGCTTTGACGGGCTGCTATCCAATGCGAGGTCCATGTACGTACCTACCGTCTTCACCCGAATAGAACGCCCGGTCGTTATAGCCGTATTTAGTGCAAACTTTCAGTCCCAGTACAACTATAATGACTTGTCGTTCTATTCGGGTGAAGATGCTCGTTTTTCGCAAGTAGGCCCTGATCTTCTTTGGGTCCCTTCAGATGGTAAGTGGGACTTGAAACCACAAGGGGTACCAAGGACTACAACGTGCTTATCGTTTTGGACTGGGATTTGAACACCAGTCAGTCGCGTGTGTTTCTTTCTTTTGGAACGAAGTACAAGATGGTATTTGGAACCCGCTCAATCGCGAGTTTTTTGTTCTTTTGGAACTAAGTATAGGACGGGGGTTATTGGTACCACTAGGAACTATGATTTGCTGGGACTAATTTTTTGTTTTCGGTTACCGCTGTTACCACCATAAATAGGTTGTGTTTGTACTTACGAATCCTCTTTCAGGAACTCACGCTTCAATGTCCAAACGGCTGGAACGAGAGGGGCCACAGGAGTGGGTTAGCGACTGTTCTGCACAGTTGACGGACGGCTTGGCGGGTAACCCCCTGCGCTTTGATTTTCCAATTTAATTTTTGGTTTCCTATGTACAGTCAACACGATATACATTGACGAGTAGTGTGATGAGAAAGGAAAAAGGACAAAGAAAAATCGTGTCTTAATGCGCGAAGGACTGCCCTACGTGTACGCTTTATTTTGATTGAATTCCGAGTCATAATCCAAATCGTTCCGACCTTACCACTTTTCTTCCTTTTGGCATATATGCATATGGATTTTTTATTCCAATCCGGTTGGTTGGTTCGGTCGAGCGTTGCTTCATCTGGATGATACTATACATAATACCATGATCGATTGTGTTGAAGAATTGTGCCCTTGGCCTTGGGCTGTGTGTACCCTTGCTTGGGTTTATGTATGGGATATGGGTTCCAACTTCATGTAGCTTCAGGAGGTAGCTGGAGTCGGGTAATGGCCCCGGAAAGAAAAAGCACAACCAAGCTCCCGTCGTGCAGTGAAGTGCAAAGGAAGTGGAGGGGGGGATAATATTCCAACACGTAATCTCTTAGACAACCAACTCTCCATCCTTATCAGAGTATTCGTGTAATTGAGACGCTGGAAAGGGTCGGTTAAAAATGGTGTAGTAAGGGTTTAACTTAAGGATACTTGAAGTTGTGAGATAGATGAGTGACCCAGTAGAAATTGTGGGCGCGACTCAGGTATTCAAGTTGCCATCACTCTCAGGAGACTTTGGAAGGGTTGATTGAGTTCATACCCTTGGGCCGACTTTGAATTTTAAGAAAAAGGTCCAAGGTTCTAATGAGTGATTGGGTTGTTATTACAAATATACCAAACAATGCAGATAATGTCTTAGAGGTTTGTGAGGATGGTGAAGTCCTTCCCACATATGAGTTAGCTCAAGACCATTCTACAATAATTAAATACCAGGATAGTACTGGATGGGTAAGTATGAATCTTGTTTTCACGATCAAATTGTTAAAGCACATAAACAAATAAGCGACCTTCAAACCTAACATACCCATTAGTTATTTGATTTTTTATCCAGATAATTAGAAATGGTATATGTCATTGGTAAATTGTAAGCTATCATCAATTTATCTTCATACCTAGTCTGTTAAGTCTACTTATCGTATGTTAAGTCCACATATTGACTGGTTTAGGACGATCAAGACAAACCAACCAAAGTTGCTTCGCTTCAATGGTAAATAGAGTTGGCTTCCTACTAACGATTGGCGTATAGATAAGACCTCATTGCAACACAAAATGATGTTCTCATTGTGTAAATTTTGTAAGACGTTTTTTTCATCTAGGCTAATCTCAAAGAATGATGAGTATATCTTCCTAGAACGCCATGGTGCAATTTGGATTTGGAGATGGTGGGATTGTGTTTGGTTTAACCTTGGAACTGCGATTCAGTGGTTATGGGACTCAAAGACTCTTCTTCTGGAATGTTGGTTTCCAGAGGACGCTGATGATTTCTAACACGATCTATTCATATCATTGAAGGAGGGTTGTCATATGGGCTATCTTGGCAAGAAGGTGTACCTATAAGATGGAAGGAGCTATACCTAATGACGCATCATTCATTGAACCTATCGAACAATAGGTACAAATACAAATTGTCACTGTTAAAAAAAAATTATATATATTTTGTAACCTCAAAATAAGAAATACTTCAACACATTCAACAATTCAATCTTTGCTGGCTTGGGGGGAACCAAGGGGGAAAGATAAGGCAAGTAAAGTGGAAAGGTTCAGGGAGACTGGATCAGAAAAATGTTAAAGGACTATCGGTTCGATTTTAATAAGTGGGCACTAATTGATATACACTACCTGTACATCCCCTTGCAAAATTCCCATATCCCTTTCCTCCCCCAAATTTGAGCATGGTTCCAGGAGCATGGTTTGATTATGAGTAAGAAAATGTCAGAATAATACCAGGAATGAGTATGAAAAAACTTGTTTTAGAGTTAAAGTAGGATTGCATGATGAAGGATATCAGGGCTTCCTTATTTGATCTAGCAACCACTTAATGGGTGAAGAGGTAGCGTTTACAGTCCATTGCAATCTTATGTCGGCTCAATCATTCCTTGTTCTCTGTCTAAAGCTACATTATTCGATTTGTGATTGATGGGACGTTGAACCGGGTCTCCAGCAGGCGATACTCCCCAGCAATAGATGAAGCAATTTGGTAAAAAACTAAATAAATAAAATGCGAGTCATCAATGGGCTGCTGGAGTTCCCCATCGGGATTCCTTCCTTTTGTCTCAAGAGTCTACCTAATGCCCACAAAAGTGACATAAAGACATATTATTCAAATCGAATTCGATTTGCTCCTCATCAATGTAAATTTCAATGCAAAATCATTTCACACCCAACCTTCTTCATTATTATTATTTACAAATGTTATTGTTTCTCCCCTCATCCCCACCAGCATAATTTTTTTTCCTTCCTTCTCATACAATGCAACCCATTCAATAACCGTTCTTACGAACTCATAAGGTAACTTAAGAAATATCTTTAAGTTACTCCTCTCTATTCTTCCTTTCTTGTGCCTGGCGACTCATCTTTTCCAGCTTCCTTCATAGTCGATGTATTGATTTGAGGTTGAATTGAGTTTCCTTCGAGAGTGGAAACAACAGCGCCTTCACAACTCTCTGCTTCGCCAATTTTGCTGGTTTCGAAAAGGGATGCGAGATTGGTCAGAACTTCAAGGGGTCTTTGTGGTTT